ATACCATTCAGTACTCTATTACATCCTTAAATCTACAACATTAAACATATCTGAAATATTTAACTACAACATTATATCTTCAACTTTTTTAAATAATTTAACAATTTTGATCTACTAGACACATCTACTCATATATAAATTCAACAACTACAAACAACCTTTGGTTTTCTACTAATATTTTCTTTTATTCTAAACTAATTATTGATAAATCTAATCACTTAATTACAAATTTTAAATAATATAACTTATTAAACATATAGGCTAAACTTTTTCAACTAGCTCAATTTACAACATTCTATATATACTAAATGATGGAACTATATTTTTAAAATTTTTTCTTTCTTCTAATTCAAAATATCATATTTTTAAAAAACAACTCAGACACTATAAACTTCTTTTTCTAAACCATCTTACTACTTATGACAATTTATATTTACTACACTGGCAACATATTTCACTTAGACTTAACAAAATTCTAAAAAGTGTTATATTGTAATAATTTACTATTCTTAAGAACATTACTACAAGTCACTCTTACCAACATACTCTATATAATTATTATAACTTACCTTTTGTAAACTACTTCTGCTATTCTACTAGCCACTTTATCTCTAATACTAAATCTTGGCTACTTCCTATTTTTAATAACCAAATAATTATTAGCAAGACCAGAAGACATAATATACCTACTGGCCTTATTCTCATCAATTACTAGCACTGCTTATTCTAGTCTTAGTTCTCTAATCTTTATTCTACTTCTCTTTCTACTACCATATTATATACTGAATGCCACTTTAATTCAAATACAATTGCTAATAAATATACTATTTTTATTTCTACTAACTTGGCTACTAAGCTACTTTGTTACATTAATTCTAACAAAACTTTTAACCTTATGCAAACTTTCTTAATATTGCATATTTTGTTGCCTTTCAATATCCTTTACATATTTCATCTTCATCTTTACTTACAATTAATCTACAACAACTACACTAAAACTCTATAACAAGGTATTTTAGTCATCTATTTCTATAATCTTTTTAATTAAATCTTCTATAAAACATATAAATGCAACTTCTGATTCTGGACTTATGATGTTCTATATTAAACATGAGCTATTTTTAAAAGAGAATAATATAAGTAGATGGATGGTTAAATCTATTTATACAGAGAACCAAGTTAATAATGATTAGACTTAACATACAAAGCAGACTATAGCACTCTTTATAACTATAAGAGCTAAGCATATTGTGAGCAAATCTATAAAAGAATCTTTTACTTTCTTGAATTCTATTTCATCATCTCAAATCAAGAAAACATTACAAGACTTATCTCACAATACATTATATAATTCAGATGCATGCTATAATCAATGGCTAATATATTAAAACTTAACTCTACTCTCATATTCATAAACATCTAACTTTTTTCTAAAACACATCTATTATTATAACTTTTTACAACTTAATAATTTTAACTTGTACTTATAATATCAATCAAACTCAACTATAGTAAATGCTATATATACTTATTATACAATTCTTAACCTTTATCTGAATATTTTTTTTTACAATCCATTTATATACATTTCTTTTAAATTTTTTTTACAAATAATAATATGCCAAATACCAATTTAATTATTAAAAATAATAAACTTGACTATCTATAACAAAATTCTCACAAGTATATAGAACTTGTAAAAATAAAGCTAAACTCAATTATACAATCTTTATTAGCATATTACTTTATTTTTAGCTATATAATATTTATAATATATAGAACATTTAGTTATAATATTACATTACAAACTTTATCAAAAAACTTAGTTCTCTTGATTTTTTAGAAATTAGTACTCATATTAGATTTTAACAACTTTAGAACAACTTGTAGTTATTTACTAGTATTTTAATATATAATAATTTTACAATTAATAAGTCTAACAAATATACAATTAACTTTAAACTTATTTAATTTTTTAAACATCTTAGTATAATGTTTGTATTTAATCTACTATATAATATTTTATATACTATTCAAAAAAAGTTTATTTTACTTAAAATATTACTCTTATCACATATTAAGTACTTAATATTTAAAAAACAACTTAGATAATACTATATTTTTTATATAGACTAACTTACTACATTTGATAACATATATTCTTTAAATTAAAAATATATATTTTCATATATAAAAAAAGTTTCTAAAAGTAAACAACTATTTTGGTTTAACTATTTAGAAGACTAAACTACTAGTCACATATATAATTATATTCTCTACCAACTTCTATAGTTATATATTATAAACTATTATAGTTATTCAATTAAATATTTCTTTTTATACAAAAAATATTACTTATTACAGTATTTGATAATAAAATCATTACTAGTAAAAACAAAAGACAATTTTTTTTTTAGAAACTATTCTTATTAGTTACTAATAATGCTATATAGAATTACAATTTATTTGTCTTTATCCTTTTATATTTATTTAATTACAAACATGTCTAAATTGTTTTTTCAACTCTTATATAATTGCTAATAAATATATAATTAATATTTTTATCAATCTTTTTATAAGATTTTTTGATCAAGTTAATATATACACCAAAACTCTAACTTTAATATCAATTATTTTAATCTTATATACTTTATTGTAATTTGATATTCTACTCAAATTCTTAATTCTTCTAATATTAATATTACAATACACTTAATTTTAACTATTTTTGAACCTGATATTCTAACAAATAATTTTTAACAAACTACTAACTACAATGCATAATTACTAGACTCTACTTTTATTCAGATAACATGTTGCCAATATAGGCATCTCAGAATGCTTCATAGGTATTAAATAGGTTCAAATTTTAAACTACACTATATTGTATAAATTTTAAGCTCAAACAAAATACTAGACTTGATTATTTAAGTCTGAACTTATTGCTATTATATTAGCTCTTATTACTGTTTTTAAAAATTATACTATATATATATATACTAACTTATAGTTTGTAATCTCTAATATTACAGTTTTTTGAATTTAATTTATACTTTATTCTATACATATTGTTAGACCTGGAACATGTTATTAACAAATCACTGATTTCATTATAAGATCATTGTTGTATGATCAGTAGTCACGATTTTGTCTTGGCTAGGAATATTTCACTAAAGTTGGAATCTTATGCTTATAATGATTATAATGTGTATATTATATATATTAATTATAATCAGTATAATCAATATATGCAATATAAGTGTTATTATCATTATAAATGCAATAATGGATATTGGCACCCTAATAATAGATAGAATTTTGCTTATAAATAACCTGTAATTTCATCCTAGTAATAAGGTAAATTTTGATATAAGAAATTAATAAACAACCTATCTTATATAAATCAAATAAATGTTCTTCTGCAAGTAACTGTAGAGAACCATTATCATAATAAAATACTTATCTATAATATTAATAAATTCCATCTCTGTTAGTCTAGTATTTCTGAAGTAGTGTGAAATATTGCAATTTCTGAATAGTAGAGTAATAGTCTCAATGTAGTGTAGACTATCCAAGATAAGCCAGATCTGAATCAAAATTACTCACCAAATCTACACATTTTTTTTAACAGAAACTGTCTAAACATTACACAAAACTAACTTTAATTAGTGACAGACTTACTAATTTAGAGTATTTTAATATACACTATATTTTTTATTATAGAATATACTTATTAGCTTTATTAAACTATACAATATTCATATTATTTTTTCAAAGTCACCACTTACCAGAATGGTTAGTATAATAATCTTGTAGATCAACTTACATGCAATTATTACAATTTGTTATATCTTACCTTTATGTTATATAATATTTACAATTTTGCATATACTTTAATCTTTAAAAATTTTCTTTTTAAAACTATCTATTTATTACAGTATTGTACAATATGTCATATACTTATTTATACATTATGAATTACACAAAACTGCTTTCAAAAATAGCACAAAATTCTTAATTAGTTTAATTGACAAGCTACCTGATTATATATTAACAACAATTAAAAAATCTCAAACTTTTCACACATATATAGTATATTTTTTTTATGTTTATAAGTACTTATTTATAAATTATACTAATAAATTTTTAATAATTTTTTTAAATTTTTAAAAAAAAATTATTTTATATATAAAATAATGGCAAAATATAAATTGTATAATAAAAAAATTATAAATTAAAACATATAATTTAAATATTTTTTATAAGATATTACTAACTATAATCTATAATGATGCTTATCACCTAGGATGCCATGTTTCAAAAAATGTACTAATAAACAGAGATTAGATAACTAAGTAAAAATGTTTAGAACCTCTAAAAACCTTGTATAATCTAAAATTTAGACTATTATATCTAATATTTACTTTTGTCTCAAGTTGCACTCTAAATCTAAAGATAAAGGCGGTAATAATCACCATTGGTTAATTGTAGTATTTTGCTTTTTTAGAAATTTGTAAATTAATAAAAATATATTTAATTAAAATATAATAAATTCATTTTTAAAACTTGATATTGTATTATATATAATCCTAAAAGTATAGTTTAAAATAACATTCATTAGATTTAATATTGTTGATAAACCTTTTAATTTATTTTATAAAATATGATGTATAAGAAGTGATGATATTACATATATTATGAATAGTAGAAATGCTCTGAAAGATGGTTAATAAAAGTGTTTAAATAATTTCATGTAAGTAACAGTAGAATGAATAAAAGCTTACAGAATAAATAATATTAATATACAGCATAAAAAGGCTATTCAATGATATAAACGTAAAAGTACTGCAAGGATCTCTGGATATAATATATAATTGAATTCATAAATTAGTAGAAATGACTTTAATATAAAGATATTATATATCTTAGAATATGCATACGAATTTAAAAATTGCAGGTCGTCAATGATTTTCTTGAATGATATTATATTTTTATATAAACTACAAATTTTCTCTATTGGAAGATGTTGAAGTCCTAGATTGTGAATTCGATCTTCTATGCTCTTGAACTAGAAAATCATGCTCATGCCGTTCTTGAACCGTAAATTCGTCTGCATTATCAGATCTTGCTTCATCAGATCTTGCTTCATTAATTAGATTTGTACTGTGTGGACGAGAAAAATCATTTTCAGATTGGATAAAGCTCCGGTCATCTGTCTGATCTTGAATATTTGCCACTATCACATCCTGTTCCTGGTAAAAATCACTATCCAGATCTTCCTTACCGGTTAATAAAAAGCTTATACAAAGTTTATAATGAATATTTATGTACATGCCAGAATAACTTGTATGTAATTTGCGTGGGATTGATAAAGGAAGTTCTTGAGAAAGTTTATTGTTTATAATTTTCGATGGATCTTTACGAACTGTGCGGCATTTTTGCACACTTTTGAGCGGAGATTCACTCCTTTCAAATGATATCTCTGTCACTCTCTTCAAAGAAATTTCGATTCTTACTATCCTAATTCCGGTGTCATTGAATGTAACATTAATTGGGACGATAATTTGACTCCCAAGACCCAAATATTCTGGAATCTGAAATGAATAATCAAATAAAGGCTCATTATCTCGAGGATCATTATACGTACCGTCCACATTTATATTAGGTATGTTGTTGCGAAACAATACTTGTTCTAATGGACAATTTATCTCAGCATTATCTTTTGGATGAAATATATTTGTTGTATGAATTGTTGCACGTAAAGTATAATTTATTTGGCCAATTAATTGAGTTAAATTATTCTGATTGGTGATCTTGAAAGAACTTGACAAGTTTGAAGGTAATGGGAATTTAAAAGGAAAGTCTTTTATCTGTCTAGATCCGTTAAAATTAATTTTTAACCTCTTCTCTATTAATTTACGAGTACTGGTCTGGTTTGTTATTGCTCTTCCTCCCATTTCCGTATTTTGAACTTGTTCAATACCCTTAAAGTAAAAATCGATTGATGAAATCATACTAGAGCCGTAATAATTTAAATTTCCGCACAAATAACTATTTGATAATCCAAGTTCGCCTCTTTGAAATCTATCAGAACCATCTTCGTAGGAAAAGGTCACATTATTACCTCTTTTTACGTACGTAATACCGTCATCGTCCATTATTCTCACGTAAAAAAAAAACAAAATAAAAAAAAACAAAAAATATATATGTAATAAGTTTGCAAATGTTGACCTTTAAATACATTTTAATACATTTTGTATACGTATATATATATATGAGTAGTGATTTTAATTTTGTAACACAAAGTGTGGGCTTGTGATATGCATATATTCATATATTCAATATTTCTGTTTTCTTGACGCCAATTGTGATTTGAACAAAATATAAATTAGAAAGTTTTTGTATGTACAAACGCTTTTTTTTAATTTTAATTTACGTATCACCGTAATGTTAGTATAACCTATTTGATAAATTCAATTCTTATCGCACTTATAAATAATACCATTTTAAGTAATAAGTACAGGATACAATCTGTGATACGTATCAAAATGAAGAGGATAAAAACAGTAAAAGTGACGTGTCACGTTATCCACATATTTGTTCGTAGAAATCGCAAAAAGAAGGTGTAATATACAAATAAAATGTCATTCACTATATACATAAAACACAATATTTCCAATATTTCCGTTTCATTTGCCAAAAAAATTAAGGTTTTCTTCATTGTCATATTTCCCAATTTACAAGAATTGTTATGTTTAAACATTTACACATCATCACATCACACAACCTTATCGTACATAAAATACGTGTTTCTTTATTTTGAAGTGTCTTTATTTGTTATGTAATACATTGAACTTCCAAATTATTTTTTTTTATTCCATACAACGGACTTTCATTTTGGTCACGGTCTCTCGAATTGTCCACGTAGAATTTAATTTGACATGAATTTTTGTGTCAATGTATGCGTTTATCTTGCATATAAACACTCGAATATGATATTCGTCTAATTTACCTTCGCACTCAAGAGCTTTCTTAAAGCATAAGAGTTGAAGTACGTTGGCTATCCACAATGTCAACAAATGATTCCTCTACTACTAGCACAAATACTCCTATTCCTGCTGGCGATGTAGCTTGGGTTTTGTCTGCAACATGTCTCGTTTGGATAATGACTCCGGGTGTAGGCTTCTTATATAGCGGCTTGGCTCAAAAAAAGCATGCCTTATCATTAATAATGCTATGTTTTTTGTGCATTCCAATTGTATCTATACAGGTATTTGTTAATTATTTATAGTATATTATTGTTTTTTTTTATTAATTCATTATGTCTTCTAATTTATTATTATTTTTTAATTTATTACTATTTATTGTCTTTTTAGTGGTTTATTTGTGGTTATAGTCTAACATTTAGCAGGACCGGCGGTCCTTTTATTGGTGATCTACGAAACGCATTCTTCTCGAATATTGATCAGAATTCTGGCCCAAACAGCGCAAGTGAAAAAATTCCAGAATTTGGATATGCAATTTTTGAGTGCATGTTTGCAGTTATTACCCCAGCATTGATAATTGGTGGGGCTGCTGAACGTGTGAGACTTTTACCTACTATTATATTTATTTTTATTTGGTCAACACTTGTTTACGATATCATCGCTTCATGGTGTTGGTCAAAAAATGGTTGGTTCGCTACTTTAGGTGGTCTTGATTTTGCAGGTGGTATTCCTGTACATATATCATCTGGTGCAGCTGCTCTTGCTTTTTGTTTTGTTCTTGAAAGACGCAATGAAATTGGCAGACCTCACAACATCCCTAATGTAGTCATTGGTACTGTATTGCTATGGTTTGGTTGGTTTGGCTTTAATGGTGGTTCTGCCGTAGCTGCTGATAGGCGTGCTATTATGGCTTGCATTGTAACAAATCTTGCTGCTTCATTTAGTGGGCTTACTTGGATGTTCATAGATTTTTTTAAATTTGATCATAGATTACGCGTTGTTAGTTTTTGTAGTGGTGCTGTTTCAGGATTAGTTGCTATAACCCCTGCATCCGGCTATGTTGCTCCTTATGCTGCTGCTATTATTGGTATAGCAAGTGGAATTATTTGTAATCTTGCTTCTGCTATGAGGACGAGGCTCAACGTATATGATGATGCTATGGATGTCTTTGCCATTCATGGTGTCGGAGGATTTGTTGGGAATTTTCTTACTGGAATTTTTGCTGACAACGATATTGTTTCTCTTAGTGGTGATTATATAAAAGGTGGTGATTCTATAAAAGGTGGTGCTATTTATGGAAACCCTTACCAAATTTTAGTACAATTATCAGGAAGTTGCGTTGGAATGGTATACTCTTTTGTGGTTACTTTTGCCATTCTCTTTATTATAAATAGGATTCCAGGACTCAGATTACGGTTAAATGGAAATACGGACCAAGTGGAAATGGGTGAAGATGCTTATTGTTTTGCTGATGGACCACCTCAAGTTGGATTAAATGTAGCACCCATTCGTATGCCCATGAATATAAATAATCAAAATGATGATAATTCATAAGTCTTCCAACTTCTTTATATGTTTTTCTTTTCTAGTCATGACGATACTTTATTTATATAATTGCAGGATTTATCTCTGAAGATAATTTAAATAGATTGTTAAGTGACTAGTAATAATAACCATTAAATGTAAGAATCAAACTAATTTTAATTAATACAAATATTTAAATAAATTAAGTAACATTCTATTTGAATCATTAATTTTCTTATCTTTTAGTTATTTATTAAGGTTTAGGCCTATTTAACGCAGTATTACTCATATGAGGTTTACTAATTTTTCCCACCAATTTCTATTGGACGAATAAAAATCCTGCTTTTGATTGAACAAAATAAATTTAATTCAGGCATTAAAATTTTTGATACGACCAAATAATGGCTTGCAGTACAAATGTATAATAAACTACGTATTATACTAAAATTTTACAAGGAATTTTTTTTGTTAGGACACGAAAGGTAGTTTTGCAAGCAAAATTTCAAGTTATTAGCATTTTTTTAGAAAATCTGATTTTTCGTAATTTTTATGTTACACCAAATCTTGAAACCAATCAGAACTTAAAATAATTTTACCAGCAAGATCACATGAATGTGCAACATGAAATGTGAAGGGGATGGTTTCGTTCAAATTTTTCGATGTCTCTTATGTTGATTTTTGCAAACCCCATTTTTTTTAGGAGTAATAATTTTCATTTATTCATTTCTGAAAGAAGTTAATATTTTCTACGCATTATGTCATTGCTAACAGTTAATCACCCACTTAAACACCGATCCTTGTTAAGGCTATATGATTTTCCTTTATAGGCAGAAGTTCGTCTGATTGGTTAATAAATTCAAATATGAGTGACGAAAAAGGAAAACCTGTAAATCATTTCACTTATTATGTGAAATGATTTACAGGTTTTCCCTTTTCG